AGTGTCAAGTAATAAGCTGTTTGACGTTTTTACAAGAAAAATGCGTTTTTGTTTCCGTACTTTTTGGTTGTTACTCACTTTTTACTCTCACTTTTTTTCTCTTCACTTCACTTCTTCACTTTTTGCTATTTAACATTTTTACAGGATTTTACACGAAAAGTGTTGGATCAGAGGTATTGACAGCCTTAACAATGTTCCGTACCTAGAATTTCGGTTACAAGAAGTGGTCACAAAATTTGGTAATCAAATTTTCCGGTTACAAAATGTGCAACAACGCGCAGAATGGGCCTGAGTTGGCAATTATTTATGTTTTATCTACATATGTACATACTATACCTGCAGTGCAATAGGATTTTTTCCGATAACATCTGATGCCTGCTTCAGGGTTTGCGCAGCGTTAAATTCACCTTCCGCTGCAACTATTTTCGCTTTGGCCTCACGAGTGGCCTCCGCTTCGGCGGCCATAGCACGCTGTAGAGATAACGGTAGTCGCACGTCTTTTCTAATAATAAACATGAATCGGAATTAAACAAACAAAAAGTTATTTCGTTAATACATTTAAATATATCCAGTGAATAAGTATTCGATCAACACTTAGTAATCTGTTTACATTTCAACGAGTTCTACTTTCACGCCCCAAGGATCAGTTGCTTCATCCAATATCTTCTCAATAGCTTGCGAAATGGCGTCTTTATCAGCCAAAAGCTCCATCAACATTTTTGTGCCCGCAACATTTCGTAAGGTCGTTTGCGCTAATAGCCTAGTAGAGGCCTCAACATTCGCTATTTGAATAACCGCTCGCAAGGGATCCTGTATTCTGTAGTAGATAACGGCATCAAGTGATACTGTCACTGAATCCTTTGTAAGCACTTCCTGTGGCGGCACATCAAATGACACCGTACGCAAATCAACAGTTTGGTATTCATCTATGCAAGGTAAAATGAAAAATATTCCCGGACCTCGTGGACCACCTTTCCTGCAGATTAATGACATAAATTTGTGTGAATATAGATAA